AAAAACTAGGTTTTTAGTTTTCTGGAAACTCTGTCTATAGGAATTTAATCACAATATTTATTCACTGATATTTCGATTGAAAACAATTTTCTCCCTCAGAATCACTTTTTGAATTATTTTTAGCATTGCAGACAGCCGACAAAAATGTAAAACTAAACCTCGTTGATCAATTTTGAAACTCACTGTATATCCAAAAAAAAAATATTATTCTTTTGTTCGTTTTTTTTTGTTCTTATTTAGTCTGATCTTGTTGTTACATTCTTTCATATGATTCAACAAGATCAACAAATAAATGATTCAAAAGAAAAACCTATTGATGGTAAATGAACTCTATAGGAATTTAAAAAAAAAATTTTTTTTGAATTCTGTCTTTTTTGTTGAAGATTTTTCATCACGTTTTACTTATGATTCATCATCAAATAATCGACCAAAGATTCGTATACAATTAAAATATGATAATGGACAATTATTTGTTATGGTTCGTTATGCAAGTAATTTGGTAAGAGAAAGATAAAAAAAAATGAATTAAAAGTATGTTTTAAATTTTTTTATATGATTTATTTATTTAGCCATTAATTAATGGTAATGATCCAAATCCATATTGTAAATGTTATTTATTTCCTGATGCATCTAAATCAACAAAAAGAAAAGGAAAAACGATTATGAATTCACGAAATCCAATATTTAATGATACAGTAAAAATTTATTTGATGTTTTTTTTTTATTTATTAGAAAATCTTAAAATTTTGTTTATATTTTAGTTTACATATGAAATGGATTTATCAGAAATTCAAAAGTAAGATTTTATTAATTAAATCATTGAAAAACTTTTAAACAAAATGTTTATTTATATTAAAAAATATTATTATCAAAATCAAAAAGAAAAGAATATCTAACAATCAAAATACTAGATTTTCCAGCACAGACAAGACAAATAAAATTTTTTTCAGACTACATAAAACAATAGAGCTAACAAATAGTCTCTTCACAAATGAGACATTACCAAGTTTGATATATCTCAACCCCAAAAACATCCTAAAGAATTTGCCGATGTCTCATTTCATAGGGGGATAGTCTATTCTATATCGTACTATGTGATCTAAAAAAATTACATTTATATGCTCTAGATATTGAAAAACTACAAGTTTTATTTTATGGGTTCCCTATTTTTGCTAATTTGATATTTTTATATATTCTTCTTGGAACTCATTTTTTTTCTATTCAAATCACTATTTTCGTCTTTCTTCAAGATTCATCTTTGAAAAATGCTTATAGCTTAATTCAAGGGGGAAGGAGCGAAAATGTCGTACTTCTTCATACTTCCAGACTATATTATAATTGTGCATCAGATCTCTTTAACTATTTCAAGTCGACTATCGACCTGTGTTATGATATATTAGCCGAAGTCCAGCCTACGTAATTCTATCTGACAAAAGAGTCCAAATACTTCATAATACTTCCAATTTGGAAGTATTATGAAGTATTTGGGCTTTAGGATGAGGTTGACTTAAGTGAGCTGGACTCCGGCTAATATATCATAACACAGGTCGATAGTCGACTTGAAATAGCTAAAGGGATCTGATGCGCAGTTACGACATAGTCTGGAAGTAGGACATTTTCGCTCCTTCCCCCCTTGGCTTAATTGCATATCACATTTTCTAGAGAAGTGTTTGTTCTACAAACCTACTAACTTTGACAAATTATAGCCTATTGAGAAAGTCGGAATCTATATTAAGATACTTTCGACCAATTGTTTTAAACTTCTCAAAGATCATTACTCTATTCTCAACCAAAGACTTAGACAAAAATTCCTAATCCAATATTCGAAAAAAATCATTCCATCTCATAGTTTTTGTCTTATCGGAAATACTTTCTAATGGATCAAATATAAACAAACATCTTATCTAAAAACTTTTCAAATCGTTCATTAATTATGGATAAAATGTTTTTTTTTGTATTTTAGACGTCTTCTTCGTGTAAGTGTATGGAATAATGTATTAACTGTTGGTAATCATGCATTGGGTGAAGTTGATATTGTACTATCTCAAATAGATTGGTCAAAAGAAAATGCTCGTGATTATACATTTTTCTCAGTTGATTCATAAAAACTTTAAAAAAGAAAACAAAAGCCAAAGTTTTATGTCTATGGTATTTGTTTATTTGAAATTCAAACCGGTTATTAGAATGAAAAAATAATTTGACAATTTTTAAAAATTATTCATTTTTTCTTTTTTTTTTTCTTTTTTCTCATTTCCAGTGTATGTGTATAAATATATATTAAAATTGTAAATTCTTTCTTTTTTCCTTTCTTTTTTTTTTTTAGTCAACTCTTTCATTCGTTCCGTTTATTGTGATTAATATAGAAGAAGGCAACAATAAAAAAAAAAAATTATGAATTAAACAAATTTAAATCTTAATTAAAAAAAAAAATAGAAAAGATAATTTTTTGTTTTAGATATTTCATATGTCTATTAATCGATATACACGAACGGTAACTGATGTACTCAGTTTACGTTTTAATCAAGATTCAAGTAGAAATTTAATGATTGAAATTTGATTAATTTAACTTTTTGCTTTTTGTTTTTGTAATCTTCTATAGCTTGTTTTATTTGTGCTACATGTGATGGTATTCGAATATTTAATGTTGAACCATTTTCACAAAAAAGTTTTCTTGGTAAAAGAAAAGAAAATTTTATATTAATAAATATTTAATATAATATTTTTATTTAAGATGTTGGACGTGCTACTTATGCAGAAATGCTCTATCGTACAAATTTAATAGCATATGTTCCAGCTGATCATGTTACTGGTTTACCATCGAATGTTGGTATGAGAAAATTAGTTTTGCTTTTTTTTTATATATTCGATTATTTTTATTTAAAATAAATATTTTAGTAAATGTATATGATGATGAACAAAAAGCACATGTACTTGAATTATGTTTTAGTTTACCTGTAGTTTCTATACGAATGTCAAGAACAAGGTTGAAAAAATAAAAATTTTATTTTTCTTAAATAGAAAAAAATTTTTTTTTTGTTTTTTGTTATAGACTTATTGTTATACTTATACGCAAAATTCATATTTTCTCTTTTCCTAATCAATGTCGACTTTTACATACAATTGATACAAAAGATAATCCAAGAGGTTAATTTATAAAATTATTAATTTAAAAAAAAACTTTTTTTTAATTTTAATTTTTCTTTTAGGTCTTTGTGAATTATCAAATAATGATGGATCATTACTTGTTTTTCCTTTTAATTCAAGTACTAGAGGTGGTTTTGTTCAATTTTTAGTAAGTTAGAATTTTATGAATATAAAAATTTCATTCAATATTCTCTATTCACTATAATCATTGATAATACTATTACATAACAGATAAGTCATATTGATTTTTTTTTTAAAGTTCATCTTCTAAAGATGATCAAGACTCTTAAAAAAAGAAAAATAATTCCTTTCATTGATTTTTTATTTGATTCAAAAAAAAGAAAAAACTTTTATTTGAAGTTGATGGACATAAGTATACATTGTATCATGACTTTTAATATCAATATGCATATAAGTGTCATATAGCGCGCACATACTTTCTAATGCTAATATTCATTTTTAAAATAGAAAACGACGAAGAAAAAAAGAACATAACAGTATAGGTGTAAATTTATTAATTCTCTTATATGATAATAATGATCGCATCAAATAACTTGTAGACTTTTCTGATTAGTTGAACAATTTCAATTATTAGACATCATTTATTTATAATAATCGTATCATCTTTCTGTCTTTATTCGAAATCAAATTGTAATAATAAAATACAGCAGGTAGCTGAGAGAGAACAAACGCACATACACACACACACACAAAAAAAAAAAAACGGTAACTAGATGCGCAATGGATGAAACAACATAATTGAAAAAAAAACGTTGATGATTATATGTTATTCGAAACGAAGAATACATGATGATGATGTTCATTAGGCGCATCTTTATAGAAAAAAAAAAAACTTAAGTTTTAATCAATACATTAATGACTAGAAGAATAAAGAAAAAAGAAAAAGAAAGTAGGATTAAGATTGATAATGTAGAAATGTTGAATTATTTTGTGTTGGTGTTGAATATGAAAAATTTGATGATGATGATGATGTACCACTATTAAATAAACCATGAGAATAAACTGAACCTGTAGCAAAATATGCTGCTTGATTTAATAATGATGTTTGAAGATCTTGACAATCTTGTCTATGAATTAAAACAAAAAAGAAATTAACATTTTTTGTTTTTTAATATTTTTGTCAATATCGGATAATATATATATATTGAGAAATAAATAATAATTAACTTACGTTCGTGGTGTACGATCTCGTTGTCGACGATTTTTAAACCAATTACTAACTTGTGTTAATGTTAAACCAGTTTTTTTTGCTAATAAACGTTTTTCATCAGGTGTTGGATAACGATTTAATTTATAACATTCTTTTAATGCTTGACGAGATTTTTCTTTAAAACAATAAATTGTTTCTTCACCATCCCATATTGATTTAGGTAATGGATATTTTCGTCTTATACGATATTTATCAACAGCACCTAATGGACGACCACGTATTTTTTGTGCTTCCATATAATGTCCTTTATACCATAATTGTTGTAATTCTGTATGATGATGTATATCAAATGTATGTGTTTCTAATAAACAATATAATTCACGAAATTTTGATTGATGATAAAGTATAATAGCACGTGCTTTTAAAACACTATCATGTTGATGTATTAATGTAGCATTTGGTGATGAAGATTTTTGTGGTAATAATTGTAAAAGTTTGATTAATTTATCAATTTTACCACTTTGTTGTATAGCTTCACAAACACAAGCTAATTGATCAATTGTTAATATTAATCGTTGTTCTGTATTTGTTGAAGATAATTGAAGAATAATTGGAATTTGAGAAATTGAATTATTTACTGTTGTTGTTGGTGTTGGTGGTGGTAAAGTTTTTGATGATAGTAATGTTGGTGGTGGTGTTAAACTTGAATTTGATGAATCATCTTGTTCAATTTTTGTTGATAAATTTGATTGTGATCTATAATGATTTGGATAATAAGATGGATATGTATTGGATGTTGTTGGTAAAAAAGATGAAAATGTATTATAATCATAAGATGAATGATGATATGAAGTTGTTTGCATAATAGTAGAATTTATTGTATTGTTTTAGTAGTAGTAGTAGTAGTAGTCAATTTCGTCTACACATAAAAAATCTCGCCTTTCACGTATTTGAGTAATATGATCAAATGTGTCTCGGACTTTCTCTATTAATGATAGATATTAAGAGTAAAAAGAAGAGAAAAAGAAAAAGATGATTGGTTAAAAAAGCTTATTGGTGGAAGAAGAGCGTTTTTTTTTTTCTATGCTACAATGTACGATGGATGAAATGGTCAAACGTTCTCTTCTTATTCTTGGATATAAGAGCGAGAGAGAGAGAAATAAAGATCAAAAGAACGTTTGAATGGAAAGAGAGAGAGATACATTATTCGAATAAAAAAAAAAAACTATCTGCAATTTTCCACTTGGAAGAGATTGTGTTTAGTTGTGAAAAGAAAAAATTTTCAAAGTTTAATGATTATAATCAATTATGAAATTCGAGTAGACACACGCGTCTCTATGGTCAATGAAATTAATGTTCGAAATAATTCATCATATGATCATAATGTATCGTTGAATGATTAAGAGTAGAGTCATAGTAGAAAACACTTTTTGTTTTTTGCAAAACATCAAAGTTGAATTTTTGTGCTTTCTAATGGAAAAAATTCGAACGAAACAATTATTATGACCTATGATATATCATTAGATGCGTTAGAAGAAAAAAAAATCTAATAGAAGAATCTCTACAGGTGGTAAAAATCTTTTGAATTTAAATTGTATGTATAAGTCGAAAATGATATGAATATAAGTTATGATTTAGTTGAGATATTAAACATTTTTTACTGAAATTTTAAAGCAATATCTTATTTTTCTTGTAAAATCAAAATTTTGAATTTTGATTTGAAACTTTGTCAACATCAAGACTTCAAACTTTGGAGTTTGTTTAAGGATATATTTAGAAACAATGATCTTCTGGAATATGCAGTAGTGTACCGAAGAATTTTTAAATTATGGACAATAGTTACTATTTTCAAAAGGTCAATGTACAATAACTTTTAAATAAAATAGGTCAGGAGTATTTTGAAATTGCCAAGATGGCAGTAATTTATCTACTAGGTGGGCTGGGTGGATGCCTCCCACCCGAAATTTCGACTCGCTCACTCGGAAAACGAAACCTAGATAAAACACTGCAAGATGGGATACGAGATAGATGACTTTTGCAAAAATTGATAAATAAAAAACAAAATAAATAAAATGTTGGAGATAAATGAAAGTTTTTAAGATTGGAACTGCTTAGAAGACTTCTGCTTGAGTTTTAAATCGAAATTCAAAATTTTGATTCTACCAGAAAAGTATGATGTTGTATGAGAATTATAGAAAAAAAAAACTATCAATATCTTAACTTACGTTTATATGCTTTCAGATTTTTCTTGTTGACACATTTTCTACTTGTAAGAGAAAAAAAACGCTTGAACTGTAAAACTTTGTTATTAGCAGAGATAATTCTTGCATAATATAGTTTCTTTTGTTTTTTCAATCTATATTTTCATTAGATTTATTTTGATAGTATATAGTAAATCCAAAAAGATTTATAGATGAAATATGAAGAAATATCTCTAAAATTACATATTAAGAACGTAGAAGTTTTTTTTTTGTTGAATTAGAAATAGGATCTATTTAATAGATGATTATATATATATATATAAATATTGTAATATTTTTCTAAGTTTAAATAAGATATATATTTTCTTATATGACAAAATAAATTGATTATATATTATTAATAGAAGGATTAAAAACAAAAAAGAAGAATATTAATTTTTAAAATTTAGAACATGAACGGAATTGAGAATGATATGTCTTATAATCCACGTGTTATACATGCACATACAAATGAATTAGCTGCTATGGCACTTAATCATGCAGCTACTTTATTAGCAACTGCTTCTAAACGAGTATGTTAAATTAAAATTTTTAAATTATAAAAAAAACATGAAAGATTTTTTTGTTTTTTGTTTTTTCTCATTTTTAATTAAATAGGGAACATTAATTCGTGTATTTTCAACAACAGGTTTAAGTGAAAAATTATTTGAATTTCGACGTGGATCTGATACAGCTGATATTCATTGTATAACATTCAGTTTTGATTCAAGTTTTTTATGTGTATCAAGTGATAAAGGTACTGTTCATTTATATGCTTTACGTGATCCAAAATCAAATCGTATGGTTGCAATACCTCATGCACTTAATGAAGCATTTGGTGATCTATGTAATTTTAAAGTAGCTATTGAATGGCCATGTATATGTGCATTTTCTGGTCCAAGTCATGTTGTTGCTGCAAGTTTTGATGGTACATTTCATAAACATATATTTACAAATGATGGAAAATGTAATCGTGAAGAATTTGAACTTTATTTAGATGGTATTGATGGATGTGATTTTTAATGTTAATATTCTTTTCATTTCATTTTTTTCGTTTCTATTGTATATTATTTATATATATATGTGTTATATTATCGGTTTTCTTTTTTCATGAATATGAGAGATAAACAGTGCTATATATAAAACAAGCAATAAGTAAGATATTTATTGTAACGATCATAGTCATGTTATTCGAAGATTTGTTTTTTTTTTTTCATGCATTTTCAATCAATTATATATTATTATTTGGAAATTTGAACTGATATTTAACTGATAAATAATTGTAAAATTAATTTTGATGATAAATAGCAGTTGAATGAAAGTCTATTTATCAGTAAAGTATCAGTTTCAAATTACCAAAATGTTCCTCATTGTATATTATTTTGATGTATAAAGCATATCTGAGTATTTTTTTTCTTGAATAAAAACTTTTTTTTTTCATAGAATATTATTATTCATTAATGAAATGAACTCAATATCATAAGTATTAAAAGAAATTAAAATTTTAAACATTGAGAATATATACAATAATCTCATTTGACAAAATAAGTATAATTTATAACGAAAAATTGATATATATGTACATATTTAAATGATATTGAAATAGGAGTTTAAATTTTGATTTATTCGTTGCTTAGAATGTATGACTTTATTGTTTTGAATTATAATTTATTGTATAAATTATGTGACAGTTTTTAACATATAAATCGTTATCAGTATGGTATCAAGAGTATGAAATTGTATATCTGTAAATTTACTTATGTGAGATATTTCATATCAAAGAATAAATTATTCATTCTACTATATATATATATGTATGCATATCTATTAGACAGTTCTCCTCTTTATCAGATTTTTGTTTGGTCTATTTCTTAGGTAAAAGATTCAGAATAATTATCTTGTTTTTTTTTTCTCTCAATTGCCAATAGGTGACCTCTTTCGTTAGTCATCATTGTTTTAATGTCTATCACCATAGTAAATGATAGGAATGAATTGAATAAATGGTTGTAGAGAAAAAAAGAAAAATCGAATAGTGAGTGTAAAATAACGGCATAACAAAGTAAGCAAATAAAGCATCAAGAAAAACGATCATGTCACTATCGGTAACATCATAATCAAAGTGTTCAAATTGCATATAGCTGTACAGAAAGACATACATCGATACATCATAGTGATTGATTATTTATAAGAATCTCCTTTTGGATAGTATTTTATAAAGTCATATATATTATAGAAAATTATTTGATAATGAAACATATTCCAAGTAATGTTAAAGAAAAATATGAAATACTTGGTGTTATTGGTGAAGGTATAGATTTTCTTGTTTTATTTACTAATAATTTATGTATAATTTTTAACATAACAATAAAAATAGGTTCATATGGTGTAGTACTCAAAGCTCGAAAAAAAGTACGAAAATTTGTTTTTTTTTTTAATAGATAATAATAATAATAGTTAATTTTATTATCTTTATATTATAGGATACAAATACAACAGTTGCTATTAAACATTTTAAACAATCTCCAGGTTTGAATTGTTTTTGTTATTAATCTTATATTATAATTTTATTATTTGAAATCTTTGTTTGTTTTTTTTTTGGTTTATTATTATTATTATTATTCTAGGATATTGTACTGATATGGATATAATTGAACGTGAATTAAAAATTCTTCAATCACTTCGTTTTGTAAATGTTGTTGAATTAATTGAATGGTTTCGTGATAAAAAACAATGTTTTCTTATATTTGAATATGTTGAATGGAATATGTTACAAGTATTACAAGAACATCCTGATGGTTTACCATTAGAACAAGTACGTCAATTATCATATCAATTATTTAGTGCTATACATTGGTGTCATACACATGAAATAATACATCGTGATATAAAACCAGAAAATTTACTTATATCAAAAAATTTTATATTAAAATTATGTGATTTTGGTTTTGCAAGATTTTGTAATACACAAACATCAGCAGATTATTATACTGATTATGTAAGATATTAAAAAAAAATTCAATGTTACTACAAGTTTCTTTCTTTTTTTTCTTTTTTTAACCATTAAAACTCAAGGTTGCAACACGATGGTATCGATCACCAGAATTACTAATCGGGTATGTATAAAGAATTTTGAAAATAAGAAAAAAAAAAAAATTTATAATTGTTTCGTTTATCTTTTTCTTTACTTTTACTAAAAATATGATTAACATTCATGGTCAATGTTAAAATGATTTAACCTTTGAATTAGATTAACTCTTCATTTTTTTAAGAATAAAATCAATTTGTAAGATAAACGATTGTACAATAGAGAACTTGAAAAGTATTTAAAGGTTTCGACATATGCATAAACAAAATAGAAATCCTTAAAACTATTTCCTTATTGTATAAAGAAATCTTTCAGATGATTTCATTCTAATTGTATGAAATCTTTTAGAAGACTTTTAAATTTATTTTGAATTTGTGAAACCTTTTACTTTTCAAAAGAAACTATATTAATGTTGAATTATGATAGTTTATAAATATAAAAATTTGATTTATGAAAAATATTTATAATATATATAGAGATTTAATAGTTATATTTTATCGAATTAAATTATATTTGAAAAGAATATTTTCGAATTAAACTTAAATTAAAAAGTTAATTATTATTATTATTATATATGATCTGTAATGTAATATAAATTGTTTTATTGAATAAAATTTTATTTTTAAAAGAAATCAATATAATTTATTAATATATTATAGATCAAGCAATTTTTCATAAAATAACTCTACAAAATGAATTATTGTGTTTTTTTTTTTATATGAAAATAGAGAATAATTCATAACGAAAATATTTTCTATATGAATTTTGAGTACTCTTATTTATCTTTCGAATAATATATTATTTGATAATTATCTTCTTTTATCTTAATATAAATATCAAAATGTCAATGAATTTTTTTCGTCAAAGATCTACATGATTTTGTTAGAAATTTTTCTACTAAAATACTAAATATATTTTACATATAACAAAAAAAAACAGCATCCTAGAAACTACTCATTATTTATCTTATTCACTTATTTTGACGCTCATTACGAGGCATTAATCGCATGTTTAGTGAAACTATATACTCAATAACCGGATTGAAATAGATCAAAAATATATTATGAAAATATTGCATGTGGAATACGAAAAATAAAGATTATATTTTGAACTACTAATAAATTATTTAATAATTAAGTTTTTATGTCAAGAGTATGAAGCTAAATTTGTTGACGTGTATGACGCATTAAATATGTATCAACTTGTCATGATTGAAAAAAAAATTTTTAACCCTTTACCCCCCATGGAGGTTCCAGAAGAGCCACTGATAAAATAACTTTATTAATACAGTACTACCCTCGCTAGTATGCAAATGGCATAATCTGATCCATCGAATGTTCTGCTCCAAGAGTAGGACGATTTGATTTATCCAGAAATCATGGGGTAGGGAAAGAAAATTGAACTACACCGTAAGAGTTGATTTTTATTCTTTGACCACAATATTGAGTGGACAGAAGGAACATCTATCTCGCGCTATTAGAATAATGGAAAAAAGACGAGAAATAAACCCATAAAAATGAACACCAAAGAATACATGCGTTTTTTAGATGTTTTTTCAAATTAAAGCCAATTTTATTCTTGGCCATTTAATAACCTCTCATCAAATTGAATTCATCATAAATAGAGTTTCGACTTCTCATGAGTCGAGGTATCTAATATATGTATTAACTGTGCTCTTGATTTCGCCCCATAGGTCAATTGGTGGCTACATGGTCAATCATATTTCTTTGTATGTCATATTTGCTGAGTTATCACTAAAATTTTGAAATATATTTTATTTATCAGAGAACTTCTTCATCAATTAATATCACATAGAAATTCCATGAGATCTCTATTGGCTGCGAGTAGAAAGTATTTTACTTAAAAAATTTCAATTTTTTTCATTTTTTCAAAATTTTCGATTTTTTAGACCCTTTATTTCAAAGACGGAGCAATCAAAAGGAACAGTCTTTCTACCAATGGATAGCCCATGAAGTTTACTACAAAAAAGGTGCTTAGCGTTTTTTAACCCGATGCTCCCTTTCTTTTCCGCAGTCGTTCTACAAATGGTCACTCCAGTGACCAAGGGGGGGTAAAGGGTTAAGCGACTTGACAAATAAATATGAATTCGTGTACAATACATATTTGATAGTTATATTAGGCTTCTAGACTGATTTAAAAGTATTTTTCATTTCTTTTTTAAATAAATATATCATGTTGATCTATTGCAAAAAAAATTTATTGAAGACTTATAAAACATCTTGTATTTTGTTAGAGAGTCGGATATTCTATAAAATGGATTTATTTACATGTTCTTTTTTTTTTTTACTCTGCAAATATTTTCTTTACTTTCCATATGTTACCTAAATAGTAATATTCACGTTTTTATCAATTAGTAGTGATGTACATATCAAAGAGTTGAAATTTTTTATGCATATGAAATAGTTACAAAGAGTATAATATGTAAAAAAAAAATTATTTGTCACATATCATTAAACTCTTAAAATGTCCTAAAAAAAATATTACAATGTATTCATAATCTTTATAGAAAAGAAAGGAAGCTCATATTTTCATATCAGATTATTAAAATTTTCAAATGTTGATACTTTAAAAAAAGAAATAAAAATTATCTTATACCAATATTTAGTTCACCATATGGAAAACCTGTTGATATTTGGGCATGTGGATGTATGTTATTGATTTTATTGATGTTGAAAACAAAAAAAAAAACAAGAACTTTCTTTTCTTCAAGGTATCATGGCAGAACTTACTACTGGTCAAGCACTATTTGGTAATTATAAATCTTATTTATATTAAAAATTTTTATTTTTTTATTCAAATAAAATTTTTAGCGGGCGAAAGTGATATTGATCAATTGTATCGTATTCAAAAATGTCTAGGACCTTTACCATCTAAATATAATGAAGCAATAAAAACAAATCCAAAATTTGATGGATTAAAAGTATTAGAAAAAATTTTTTTTTTTTTGTTTATATTAAAATATTTCAATTAAATAAATCTTTATATTAGTTTCCTCCTATTCATCATTTGGAAACTTTAGAACGACGTTATGGTCATATATTTCCACCTGATATAATGCATTTATTTAAAGTAAAATATTTCATAAAAAAATTTATTAAATAGATTATATAATCTTGGTTTTTTTGTCATAGGGAACCTTACGTTTATATGCTGCGGATCGTTTAACAGCTGAAGCATGTATTCAACATGAAGCATTTGTTTATTTAAATCAAAATCAAAAACAACAACAACAAAAACGTTTACAACGACAACAAAATCGACCGTATATATAAAACCATAAACGAAAAAAAAAGTCAACAAATTAATTTTGTTATTTATATATTTTTTTTTTCTTAGAAAAACTGTTCTCGGTTCATTAAGTACATCTCAAGGACAACATGATCATCATAATGAAATAGTACATTTTGCTATGCCACTTGTTGATAGTCGTTTAAGTAGATGGTAGAGTAAAAAAAAAAACATAAATTTTTTTTTTTTTATTAAAATTTCATTATATATATTTTTTTTTCTTCATGAAAAAAAGGTATGATGAAAATGGTGAAATTCAAATTCGTCGTCGATCTCCAACATTACCTGTTCATAATGGTATTGATAATTTAACAGATACATCATTTGCTGGATCATCTACTCTTATTCAACATCAACAAAAATATCGTAGTAATACACAAATGACTGATCGATCAACAAATTCTCATCTTCAACGTCATCAATCGAAATTTGCACGAGCACAATCAAGAAATCAATCATCATCAAGTGATGAACGAATTCAAATAACTGCTGTTAGTCCTATTAGTTCAAATAATACAAGTGATGATGATGATGATCCAAATAGTATTCTTTCACATCATAGTCGTCTAAGACGAAAATATATTAAAAATCGTCAAGCAACTCCACCACCATTAAGTCGACAACAATCATTACGTGAACAACAACAACCTTTACCACCACAACCAACATCTCCATCATTAAGATGTGCATCAAATGGAGTTTTATTAAGACCTAAACAACATCATACTAATAATCAACATAATTCAACAAATCATTTTCAAAAATCTTCAAAAGATATGAGTAAAAAACTTAAACGATTTACATTAGATACAGTTGAAAATCGTTGGCATCATCCATATCAAACATTTTCAAATAATCAACAAATATCTGAATCTAACATCTATCGTTCATCAATGGCTATTGTACCTAGTCTTAATACTAATGTATATGGTTCTCAAATGAATAATAATAATTTATTATTAACATCAGTAAAACAATCTCAATCACAACAAAGAGATGAATCAAATAATGATTTACAACAATCAAGATCTAAGGTTAATATATTTTATTATCAGAATATTCTTTTATTTATTTTTTTTTTGTAGAATTAGATCTGCAAAATAAATAAATATTTTTCAGAGATAATCAGATCTTGTGCATTGTTGAGACATATTTTCGAGATCTACAATGATATGAGAGAGTGAATGTAGATCATCTCTTCAAATATACCGATATGAAGACAATCTAATATATATATACTTCATCTATATTTTAAACCATAGTAGGAAGATTATATAAAGAAAAGAAAAACTTCTTTTTTGCGTTTATTTCAATATACTTCATTGTAGAGAAATGTGATTGCCTTTTTAATTAATAAATATATGCATAGTTCTTTAGTTGAGAACAAGGATTTTTCTATTTAATTGTCAATTTTACATGAACACTAAGTTTTCGAGAAAACTATGCTTAAAAATATCAGATTTTTAAAGTTTCAATGATCTGAAAAATAAAATAGAATAAAAATTAAAAAAAAAACCTTTTTCCTCATTCGAACTGATGTGGAATTCTCTTTCAAATAGGAGCAATCCGAAGTCCATAGCTTGATTATTGAAAATCTACCGAACGGTTACATATGGAGACGTGAAGTCTTTCTTTTTTTTTGTTATTAATGTATTTCGAAAAATCAAACACCTATACAAAATTTCATTATTATTTCATATAGCCTGTTATAATTAGATTCTTGAGAGAGGTCAAATATTATTGAAATATTGACTTTTTTGTAGACACGAGATTTAGTTCGTAGTCGAACAATTGATTGTCATCCACCATCTATAGAAACAACACCTATTCTTCAACGAACACCTTCAAGACAAAATATTATTACAGTTAGATCAAATTGATTATTGTTTTTATAATATTTGTCTTAATTTCTTTTTCAGCATCATCAGATATCATCTGATCCGATGGATCAAGCTGATGTTGATACAACAAGTTAATCATTGATTATAATGTTTTCAATACCATTAATATTATATTTATATTTAGTTTCAACAACCTATTCGACTAGTCGTAGTATTGAACAACAACAACAACAACAACAACAACAAAATAATAATAATAAACATGCATGGTATAAATGCTAAGAAATAAAAACTTGACTCTTATTTATAGGAAATCATAGTATAAGCGTAATTAAATATTGCATTTCTTTGAACGATTCTATGTTAAAATTAAAAAAACATTTAGCTTTTTTTTTTTTACATATATCAATCAAATATATTACCAAAAAAATCAAATAACTAAATTAATTTTCTTCTATAGGAATTCAGAACAAAGAAAGTCAGCATATGGCAGTGATAATTATTTAGTAAATTCTAATGGAAATAATTCTTCTTTTAGTCGTCCATGTGTGAGTTTATATTTATTTATATTATTCTCATAATTTTATTTGATTTATTTTACATAGTATTCACCTACAAAAAGTGATTATGCTCATGTAAGTAAAATTGTTATGGCACCTCAACGAGTAAGTTATCATTTAATTTATTTAATTTATTATTATCTATATATAAATATAATAAAAGGAATCATCTTATGATCTAATCAAATCGGCTAAATCATTAGTAAAACAAAATACAACAACGTTACCAAAAACACCAATAGAATCAAATCGAGTAAATAAAAAAACAAAAATCTAATGTGTGCGACAGAATGAATGTCTTTCCCAGTGGTGGATCCAGAAAATCAATGAGGGGGTGGCGATCATGGTCGAAAACTGGTTTTCAAAGCCTGTTCGAGGCAACTTAACTGCCTTTATGTTTATTTCTGCTGAGAAAAAAACGAAAAAAAAATTCTCAGGGGGTAGCGATGGTCGGTTCGTCGAACAGGTGGAACCGCCAGTGGTCTTTCCTAATTTAATGTCTCAATATTGTTGTTTTAAAATAATGTGATTCTGCATAAGAACGTATCACAAGTTTTGATACACTAAACATTAAGCCGGTAAAATCAGACATATAATACTATGCTATTTCAATATGTCTACGTTTATTATAATAGTTGAAAACACAGCTCATTTTTGTTTATTTTGAGCAATGTATCCGAATATAAAAGGCTTTATTCAATTTCTGACATTTCACTTTGATGCATTAATTTTTCTTTGTTTTGAAGAAAAATACGTTTACGTGAGAGGTATAAATACAAAAAATTTTCCTAGAAAAGTCAAACGTTAGAACTTTTCAAGTGCTACAAAATTGCTATGTATTCTGTTTGTTCTTTAGTTTCAAATTACAAGGAAAACATTAACAAACTGTATTTCATTTATGAAATTGGGACATGTTGAAACTTTGCAGTGTTATTTATCTAACTTGTTTGCTTAGCATTAAATCACGAGTCGTTAAAAAAAAATTAAGCCATGACAATAAGCTTTGAGCACTTCGATATTGAGAAAAGGTCTTTAACTGATTAATTAATTTCGAAAATGAATCATGTAAATCTTATAGTTTCTAATGGGTTATGAATACTTTCAAAGAAAGTTCAGTTCCATAATACCAGAAAAACTGATTTTTGAATTTCGATTTGGAACTTTATATCAAAACAAATCTTGACGAGAATTGTTTATGGTGAAAGATTCAGATATTTTCATTGTTACTATCCTAAGATATAACTATGTCAAAAGTAAGTCTTTTACATCGATCATATGCACTCTTAAATTGGGTGGTCTTATCGTAGGCGAAGAATAGAGCGAATGACCTGACATACATAATTAACTATTCTTTTTAAGATTTGTTTCGATGTTAAGTTTAAATTTGAAATTCGAAAATCCGTTTTCTGAGTGAGTCTTAGATGATTCACGACATAGCATTGAAAAATATCGTAAAACTACAGTTGCACTGCATTGATAAGTTTAAGAGTATAACAAATTCTTTTCAGAATATGCATAATCCATTAGGATTTGCATGATGAAAATAGTTCCAACATAACAACGATTAATCCATTTTTGGAATTCATTCATTAGAGAGATATTTATTCTAATGTATTTCTTTGTTCTTGTTTTTTCTTTCAGAGACAACAATCAAGTAATAATATTTTTGGTGTATATCCTTATGCTCGAACAGCTATATTACATGTTGCAAATGCTATAATGCCAACATCTTATCAACGTCAACAATCAATTCGTTTACCAAGTACAAAGTCCCGTCATCATGATCGTTAATTCCTAAACATTAAAATTCTCCTCCACTAAATGATCAAAAGAAAAAAAAAACTATTTTCTGTTTTTTAATTATTATTATTTGATTCTTCACTTGATGACATCTTTGTGCATATTTATTCTGTTATAAAAAGAAATACTGAATAATTCAATTTGTTATATATGTAAACAAAGAAAGAAAAAAAAAACAAAAAGATATGAAAAAATACATGATTTTTTTTTTATTTCACAGCATTTTTTTTACTTTAGTTACGATTTCTTTTTCTTTTTTATAGTATTAAGTTATTCTTATCTACATATGTTTTTTGTTTTTCGAACACAATTCATGATTGAGATTTTTTTTATAAATACACACATTTCTTTTTTTTTTTTTCTATTTAAAGATGAGTGCTAAATCATCAAGTCGTACAACAGTACAAAATACTTCAACAGTAGCAAGACCAAATACACGAACACCAAAACAACAAACTGATTATACAGATCAAGAAGAAGAATATAAGTAAGTAGAAGTAAAGAAAAATCAATAGAATCATATTTATTAATTAATTAGACGATTAAATGCACAACTTGAAGCAAAAACACAAGCACTTGTTGAAGAAGCTGAGCAAGTATTAGTAAGTATTAATTAAATAAAATTATTGTTTTTTTTTTTTAGTAATTCATTGCTTGTTTTTTTTGGTTTTTATAGAGAAATCAAAATCGATTCATTTCAACAGATAATAATGATCGAACTTATAGTTTACTTGATCAAGTTGATACAGATGATCAATTATACGGGTTAGAAAATAAAAATTTTCATCTATATGACTCTTATCTTATAAAAATTTTATATGTAGAGATTTGCAAGCTGCTTCATTGAAACCAAAAGATCTTAAAGTAAGAATTTAAATTTATAATTAAAATTAAAATAAACAAAAACCTAATTTGATATTATCTTTATCTTTTTTTTTCTTTTCTAGAAAAATTCATCACCAACACAACAACAAGAAAATTTATCGACAAGAAATAGAAAACCATCTATTACGTAAGTTCAATTTAAATGAATTTATATTTATTAGTTTGTTATTTTTTTTTTAGAAAATTTCGTCCAAAAATTGGAGATGAAGTTGCTATTGTTGATGATAATCGATATGATCAATCCATTGATCGTACTTTTTTACAAGATCAAGCTCGAAGTACATTTGATAGGACAGTTGCTGACATTGAAACAAAAATTAATCGTACAAAAATTAGTGTCAATACAAATGTTATTGATAATGATGATGATGATATTTTTCCAGGTGCTGCAAAAGATATGGGTTCTGGTAAAGTTTTAATTAATGAAAAAAAAAGATAATTTTTAATTAATTTTTCTTTGTTATTTTTTCAGAGGCTAAAATTCGTTTTCTTAAAGCACGTCTTCGTGTTATGCAAGAAGAACTTGAACGAACACATACAGAATGTGTTAAACGTGTAAGTTTCAAAAAAAATTAAATTTATGTTTTTCAACAAAAAATAAAAAAAAAAAAAATGAAATGCAATCAAAACTAATTATATTAAGTTTTATTCAGTATGTCGAAATTTTTTAAGAGAAAAAGATCACAGAATGGATTGATCGCCTTTAGAAGCTTATTTTTATAAGATTTATTGAAGATGACGCCGACTTATCTATTGTAAAATACGATCTAAAATGAATGTTTGAAGTGTAGGGATAAAAATTTAGATCCTCATAGATCATGACAGACGTTGTTTAGATGAGATCAGAAATCGTATATTAATAACATTTCATTGTAATATATGAACTATTTCTTTGAGTAAAAGACTGGTAAAGCAATGTATCTATAAAAACGATCTTGCTATTCAGAATTTATGCTAACAGTTTTTATAGAAAAATCGAAAGAAATTTTCGAAAATGAAAGTCTAAATACTCTCTAGTTTTACTATCATATTTTATTGGCTTCTCATTCTCAATATTGAATATTGAAATACATATTAAAATTTATAGTAACATCTCTGAGACTAACGAGGGAGCATTCTCAACTGTCACATCGCTTTTAAGTCGAACGTATGCGCATTATGTAGACCCTAACGATCTATGAATTCTCTGAAAAAAATTCGTGCCACTAGCTTGTTACTACTGAGATACTGCATTTTTACTGTATGTTTAAAAAAAAATAGTCGTGGTCTCCCTCAGGAACACTGAGAAAACTGAATTTCGATTTGAAACTTTGCACAAATATAGGTCTCAACGAGAATACTTTATTGTGAAAGTTTCAGTTCTGTTCGTTGTTCCTATCCTAATTTACAGCTATAGTAAAATTGCTCATATACACGAGCAGATCCGATGTTCTTATTTCAGACTAGGAACAACCAAAAGATCTGAAACCTTCACAAGAAACTATTCTCATTGAGGCCTGTCTACAGACAAAGTTTCAGATGGAAACTCAAAACTCACTTTTCCTAGTGTTCCTGAGGGGGACTACGATTGTTTCTTAAACATACAGCAAAAATGCTATATCTCAGCAGTAAGAAGCTAGCGGCACAAACTTTTTTTCAGAGGGTTCATAGATCATTAGGGCCTACATGATGCTCATACCTTTGACTCAAAAGCGATGTGACAGTTGGGAATGTTCCCTCGTAAGTTCTAGTTATTGAAACTACCTAGTTGACAGTTCATTAGACTTGATATTGTCATATATATAAGATTAATTCAATGTAAATCGTCCAAAGATTCCCAAAACGATTCCACACTTAATCGCGCCACTGCTTATATATGGACATGCTGCAGGCCTCTTCCGCATTTTGCCTTGTGAAAGCGTTTCTTTCAATATTCTTCAAAGAAGTTCTAAATCATGAAATAGTGAAGAGCACGAGACCATCCTGATTTTGAATTATTGTTTTTAGGAAGAAGAAAATGAACGTATAAATTTAAAAGTAAAAGAATCTGATGATGATCGAACACGTCTTAATCGTGTTATAACAACATTACAAGATCAATTAGAAAAATATAAAAAATTAAGTAGCGATACAAAATCTAAACTTGATACAACTGAAGTTGAACTTAATTCTATAAAAAAAGAATATGAACAAACAAAACGTCACACAAAAAAACAACAACAAGATCAAACACAAACTGATACAAAATTAAATCGTGCTTTAGAAGAAGCTGAAAGATATAAACAACAATTAAATAAAATGCAACAAACAACAAAAGATATTAATGAACAAGATAAAAAAAAAATTGAACAATTAACAAATGAAAATCGTCGATTAGAAAAACAACGATTAGAATTAATGAATGCTTTTAAAAGACAATTGAAATTAATTGATATACTTAAAAAACAAAAGGTTTTTAACAAAAAAAAAAAGAATTATTTGTTTTTGTTTTCTATTTATTATTTCTTTATTTTAGCTTCATCTCGAAGCATCAAAAATGCTTCAATTCGCTGAAGAAGAATTTTGTAAAGCAATTGAATGGAACACTTCATAATTTTATTTACTCTTATTGATTTGTTCGATATGTTGTTTATGTAAAGAATAAAAACAAAAAACAAATCTATCATGTTTTTTTGTGAATAATTACTGTAACAGAATGTTCGAAATATTTTTGTTCTTGATTGTTGCAAGCAATGAATTCAATATGCATCGACTGACTATGCTAGATGGGTATAGAGTACAATAAATGATTCAAGGATCAAAAGGTCTGCAGACATGCTAAAAAATAAGTCAACAAAATTCAGAAATATTCGAACTCGAACTTTAGAATGCTTTCATAATTGCTCATAGATAATTGTCTTGATGTAATTGCAAATATGAACAAGTCATTTTTTTTCTCTTTTGTTCACCATTCAATCATATTGAATGTTAATAGAAAAAAAAGAAGACATGAAATTTTTATTAATATATCATTTGAGCAAAATTGACAGATTAGTTATTGAATCTTGCATTTAACTAATTTTATAATAAGTATTCAATAGGTTTCTAAACAATTACAATTATTTAAAAGTAAACAGCGAAAGAAAAACAGTGTAGGAATAAAATACCAAGTTACGACGAATTATTTTTTTCGAATATTTTTATGTTTCATTCGATAAACTTGTCAAACAAGAATAACCACATATATATCATTGAAGTAGTATTCAAAATGACTCAAATTCATAATGCAGTTTATTCTCTAACCTGCAAGCAATAATGCTGGAAAGCAGACTCTATGACAGCTTCTCAAGATGAACTCTTATTAGTTTTCTCGATAGATCGCTTTTTTTCTGGAAGCGCCACTTCAATTGACCAGCAGCTTGTCTCAACTTGCAACAATGAATTGAGTTGATTTATGTAATTAGAAGAGTAAAAGGTTACTATTTTGTTGACATTGTTGTATGGTATGACTAATGTTATTCTAAATTGTATTCAATAAATACTTTTTAAAAACCATAGGAAATTATTATATGTACAATGTCAAGATGCTTCTTTTTGTTTGTACATAAACATTGTTATGTCTTCTACAATTAATGAATATTTGTTTGAAATTATATGAATTGTATAAATGATCATTCTTTAATTTAATGATTTACTTTTGAGATAACGAATGTTAGTCAATTTAACTTAATTGTATAATGAATATTAAAAGAAATTCTTTATATTCTCTCGATATTTTTTCAACAAAAAGAAAAAAAAAACATACTATATGGTATTAATTTTTGTTATATTGAAAACAAATACGATAAATGAAATTCAAGCATCATTTTTCTTATTTATAATAGAAATTGAATATTTTTTTTAAATGGAGTTATGTACAAAGGAAATCAGAAAGTATTATATAAATTCTGATTGAAAATCTTACACAATGGAAAAAAAATATATTTTTCTGTACGCTGTTGGAGATTAAACTACTTCAAATATTAATCATTAATCCTATGGAAATCATAAAGGATTTATAACACATATTATCATGTATAAATTTTATTTATATTATTTATAGTAAAAAATTAAAATTAATAAAACTATAAACAATTTCTATTATTTTA